CGGGCAGCTTGAGTTTCTTCGCCAGCTCCCTCAGCTCTGTGATAGTAAAACGATAGCGAGCTTTAGCCGTAGCATCGTCGAGCATAACGTCAAAGCGTCTGCTGTTGTCAACTGGAGGAGCCGCATCCCTCAGTCGGAAGCAATTTTGCTGCTGTAGAACCGTCATTATCCGTGCGAACCTCCTCCTGTTTCTCTTCGAAAGCACCTATACAGAGGCTAGTACATGGAACGCTTCCTCCGCTGACAGCTTTGGCGCGACGAATACCATTGTTGGACTGCTTCTTTAGGCGACACCAAACTGCAGCTCTTTTTTTTTGGTCAGAGATAGCCGCTGTCTATCTCTACCCTTACCACAGTAGAGATAAGATTCGACACCTATTCCCGGTAAATGATGCTGTGAAGCTGAAACGTGACCGATTTGGACGTTCCGAAAATTCTCTAATACCGCTATACAGTACAGAAGTCCCCCTCGATAAGCGTAGCTCGGGTTTTGCTTACCCTGCCATATGTGCTGAAAATGATTGACAGAACATATGCGGCTTTGTATCCAGTTCACTGAAATGATATGTAAAATGTCCCATCTAATCCCGAGTGTATTAGTGATGCAGTAGGTCGCCTAGCTAGTTGGTTTGCATCCAGGTAAACATCCGATATTTACCAAAAACAACAACAACAACAACAAACTACACTGTTCTTGGCTTTCGAGACAGTATCCCATGGGCAATTGCGTCTTTAACGGACGAGACGTGAAATCTCACGTTTATCCCGAGATTATCAATCGTTCTGTTAAACACAATATAAAGTTTAAATGCAGAAACACCCTCCTACCAGTCGAGTCTCTGTGGGGGGTGTTTAGCGAATGATTCTAGGGTAATCGTAGACGCGGTCGGTGTCGGCCTTGGCGTTAATGGGGTCAGCGTAGGAGCCACTGTGCATTGAAAAGCAAACATAGTTTCCGGTTATTTGTAAGTAGGGTACCGGCGATAATAAGTCACGTGGAAATGACTCACAGTATGGTCATTGACCAGCATTTACCAAAACTTCTGGAACTGTCTCCCACTAACTGTGTTGAGCATTCTGACCAATTCTTCAATGCACCTTGCACCGAGTTCCTGCTGGGGTTGCAAAATCTCATCGAGGGTGGGAAGGTTAAGACCGTCCTTGATTCAGTGCAGGTGAAGGCTATTTCTGGAAACGCTAGCTTGGGGGAGGGCGCGCGAAACGAGAAGTGCCGCCCCCACAGTTCAGGCGGATGGAACCTTCTAGAAGGTTCCACGGCCACCCTACATCTGCCTTTTTGTATTACATACTGAATCTAAGTTAAACTGAGCCTGTCTCTGATTGGCTACAACTCTACACCTATCATATCTGATACACTCACCCTCCCTCTGGCGTGCGCGTCCCCTCAGTCTTGCCATTCCCGAAATTGCGCTGTAGGCCAGAGGTGCCGTTCCCCGTCGGATTAGTCCGACCCCGAGTTACCCACGCCTGCCTTGTGCGAGCCTGTTTACTTGGGGCTTGGATAGGTCCGTCTGGGAGGATGGCTGTGCCTCCTGCGTCTGCTGCTGCTGCTAGCCCGGCTTCCACCGCTCCCTCGCCTCGCTCGCCGACCGTACGGCCTGTGGTGCTTCCAAGCGACTCTTTGGTGGCACCACCGACCGGTATGGCTTCGCCCGCTTCTTCTGAGCCCCATACGTCTGACGAGGAGCTCCTTGCGAGCTTTCTCGACTGGGGCCCCGACAGTGATTTCGGTTCCCGTGCTCATGCTCGTTCTCGCGCTCGTTCGTCGACGCCGCCTGCTCCTACTGAAGTCGCTGCTGTTCCGGCTGCCATGGTCGATGCTCCTGCTGTTCCTGTGACTCTGCCGTCACCTGTACGTGCTCCTGTGGCTCCATTCCCATGCGACGCGGCTGCTGAAGCTCCTGGCTCAAGTCTTGTTCCTCCCCGTTCGGTTACGCCTCCTGTTGGTTCCTCCGAGACCGCTTCGGCTACGCCTCACGATGCCTCTACGTCGTCGCCGCCCAGCGCGCTCCAGGAACTCATCTACGAGATTACGGTCGAAGGGTTGTGTGGAGATGACGTTGGTGGTGATGTCGCGGATGATGATAGCGTTGCAGCTGAGGATGTTCCTCTTCAAGCGGTGGGGTTGCTTAACGACGAAGATGAGGAGGACAC